AAAAGAAGATTTTATTTATTTATTTTAATCGGAGGGGAAGGGAGAGAGAAAGATAGGGAAAGAAACATCAGTGTGTGGTTGCCTCTCATGCACCCCCTAGTGGGGGACCTGATCTGGCGTACAACCCAGTCATGTGCCCTGAATGGGAATCCAACTGGCAACCTTTTGGTTCAGAGGCTGGCGCTTGATCCACTGAGCCACACCAGCCAGGACTGAGGGCTAAGTCTTAAAGGGCACGTGTACTATACTATTATCAAATCATCCCTTTGAAGTAAATATTGTTATTCACATGCTCCATTCCATGTACCCATAGAATCAAAATTTCCATATAACTAATGTTTAGCATCCATTTTTAGGTTAGTTATTTAGGATGGAATATATTCTATTCTTTCCTTCCTCTTTTAAAAGTCACAGTAAAAACATTTTAATGTTAATAGAAAACAAAGAAAAAAATTAACTCAAAACCCTGCTACCAAATCTAATCAAAATGCTTCATTTTTCTGCATTTACATTAACTGTTGTCAACATGCAAATTAATGTTTACACAATTTAAATATTGTACACATAATTTTTGTTTCACTTAAAAATGAAAATATCTTTCTATGTTGCTATATATTTTTCATATTTATAATTTTAAACAGTTGAGTAAAGGACATACTATAGTTTATGATTCTGCACCACTGGGTAGTTTCTTTTATTTTTCTCCTATTATTTGTTGTTATTATTATTTTTTAAAGTTTTTAAAGGATTTTATTTTATTTTTAGAGAGAGGGGAAGGGAGGGAGAAAGACAGGGAAAGAAACATCAAATGGTTGCCTCTCACACGCCCCCATGACTCGAGCATGTGCCCTGTCTGGGAATGGAACCAGCAAAACCTTTCAGTTCATAAGCTAATGCTCACCCCACCAAGCTACACCAGCCAGGACTATTATTGTTATTATTTTCTTAAATTAAATAACATTGTGATCATTTCTTTTGTGTTTACACACACATGTTCATCATTTTGGGTTATTTCTTTAGGATAAATTCTGAGGATTACAACTGGGATAAAAATATAAACATTTTGCTCTGGCTGGCGTAGCTCAGTGGATTGAGCGTGGGCTGCGAACCAAAGTGTCGCAGGTTTGATTCCCAGTCAGGGCACATGCCTGGGTTGCAGGCCATGGCCCCCAGCAACCGCACATTGATGTCTTTCTCTCTCTCTCTCTCTCTCTCTCTCTCTCTCTCCCCCTCCCTCCCTTCCCTCTCTAAAAGTGAATAAATAAAAAAAGATAAATAAATCTTTTAAAAAATCTTAAAATATATATATAAACATTTTATTTTCATTTATACATGTAGTGTTAAATTTCTTTCCAAACAGGTTGCATTAATTTACACTGACAAGTGATGTGTGATCATACTATGTGCACTGCAACTAAAGCATATCCAAGGGAACTTCAAAATACTGTATGGATATAAAACAATCCCGTTACCAGTTAGATGATAATTTTTCTATTTGCTCTTTTACTACAAATACCTAAAAAGAATGATCTGGAGGCCTGGCCTTATGCCCCACCTTTTTTTAATTTAAAAATAGTTTCAAACTTATAGGAAAGCTGCATAATTGGTATGCAGAATTCCTGTATCCTCTTCTGCAAGATCCCTAATTGTTATCACTTAGCTACATTTGTGTTACACACACAAACACAAATATACGTGTATACATGTGTATCTATACCTTAGAGAGTCTTTGTATGACCTGATGCCCATCAGCCCTAGACATTCCAACGTGTATCACCACAAAACAAGGAAACTCTGCTAAATTACCACAGTACAGCTGTTTAATCAGGATAGTAACATTAACACAATACTACCATCCAAGTCAAGGCTTCATTCAAATTTTGCTATCTCAACAATTTCTCTTTTTTCTTTTTGATCCAGGTTCCTATCTAGAAACATGCATTGCACTTAGTTTTCAGGTCATGTCTTTAGAAGTCTTTCATTGTCACTCATGTACTTAATGGTCTTAAAGGAGTACAGAACTTTCATTCTGCCAAAGAACCTTCAACCCGGGTCCATTAATGTTTCTCATGTCCAGACCCAGGCCATGCACTTTTGGCAGGAATACTACAGAAACGATGCTGAGCTCACCTCAGCGCATTACATCAGTTCATTACTATATTCTCCTGCTCCATCACAGGCATTGTTAACCTCAAGTGCATGGTCAAGTTGCTTGCTGCCAGTTTTCTTCACTGTAAAGTCACTGTTTTCCCTTTTGTTTCAGTATGTCACGGGGAGACATTCTGAATTATGCCGATATGTGTTCCTCATCAAACTTCCACCTACCAGCCAGAGCACCCGCTGATAACTAATGCCTATCAGCTATCCCGAAGATGGTTGCCAAACGGCGATTACCTGTTTCCATTGTTCCTTCTACATTTATGAGTTGGCATTCTTCTTTAAGGAAAAGCTTTTGCTTCTCCTCATTTTTCATTTACCTATTTATATTAGTATACACTCATGGATTCCCATTTTATTCAATAGAAACTCTTGCTATTTAATTCTGATACTCAAATTATCTTAGCTTTGGCCAATGGGCCAAAGTTTGCTTTCTGCTTTCATAGAGGACACAGCTAGGTAATATATGCATGTGTAAACACAGGTATACATACACACTTATAATACATACAACATGTATACATCTAACTTTTTCTATATCTGAGTGTGTGTGTGTGTGTGTGTATAAATATATACACACACATACTCAGGGTGGGACAAAAGCAGGTTTACAGTTGTTCGAATGGAAAATAATACATTAACAAATAATAACCATTATGTGTATGTGTGTCACACATTCATCAATTTATATCAATACTTTAAATTCTAATCTTACACCCTCAGAGTTCCTTCTAGCTTTTTCTCTTTCATATTTGTAAGTCCCTTCTGAGACTAGAGAAAACAAGCTTTTGTTATCTTCAATATATTCACTTATTGTTAAATTAACTGATTTCCCATCCCCAGCCACCTCCTCCACACACCTTCTGCTCGTCACCCTGCTTCCTTGCCCTACACAGCGGCCCCTTTCCCATCACCACCACATTTTCTTGGAAGCTCGGCATGCTGCTGCCACGGACCCCTTTTCCTCATTCCTTGTTCCTTGGACATTGAATGCGACTATGTCTGCACAACACTTCTCCCCGCTCAGTGCTTCCTTGAAGGGTTTCCACACCAGGAGTGAGGGAAAAGTGAAAGGAAATGGGAAAGTGGGAAACCCTAGTCTTTTAAAATAGAATATAATGAGTATAATTTCATCTCTTCTTGAGTACTCATTATAGATTCTATTGTATTATACTGTGATAATGCCCTTGGGACTTCTTGGGCAGTGTAAAGGTGCTGGGTTTTTAATTTTTGGTTTTTATTTATAGTTATTCTTGTTTTTGCTTTTCTATTCTGTCAATTTCCACAAGCAATTCCTCCCATATCCTTTCCTTTTTAGATATGTCTAAACCCATATGTGCTATGGGTTGAGAATCTAAACAATCAATGCAGTAAGAAGTTGCCAAAAGTGAAATAAATATGCTTAGAGTCAGAGTTTAAAGAACTCTTCCATGATTAATAACCTTGAGTTGTTCACAGCATTAATTCTGTGATTGCTATTGAGCTGCACAGATGTTTTATTTATATCATCCTTGGGTAGTTAAATTTTTGATAATTCAGGTTGCCTAAACAAGTAGTCTCCCAGTAGTTGAGATGCAAATGTTATTTTGAAGAGGTGTTCTAAAAATTTCACTTGAATTAGAACTGCACCATCTTTTCACTCCATGGTCTTACCAAGATCATGTCCCTGTGTCATCTGAGTTAAATATTTATTAATCTGGATTACAAAATCGATTATGGAATGCAAATTGAGTGATCATATCAACAGTAATATAGATGAATCAGTTTTATCAATTAACTGATAAAATCAGCCAGGCTGCTTAAGTACATTTTCACATTGGTTCAAAGAAATAATTTCTTCCCCTTTCTACAAATATTTCAGCTCTCTCAATTCTTGAGAAGAATTTGAGATTAAACAGCCTGATCTCCTAGTAAAGAGATCAATATGTATACATTCACTCATTAAATCATTTAACAATATATACCAAGTGCTGCTACATGACAGGCATTGTTCTACACATCTGGAAGTGTAGCAGTGAGTAAGATAAATTCCCAGTTGCTCTTAAGGAGCTTACAGTCTAGTTGGGGGAGATAAACAATTAAATAAATGTATAACTGGTTATAAATGCTTTAAAGAAAAATATGGCCCTGGCTGGTGTGGCTCAGTGGATTGAGTGCCGGCCTGCAAACTGAAAGGTCTCCAGTTTGATTCCCAGTCAGGACACATGCCTGGGTTGTGGGCCAGGTCCCCAGCTAGGGGCGTGTGAGAGGCAACCGACTGATGTACCTCTCACACATCAATGTTTCTCTCACTTTCTTTCCCCCATCTCTCCCTCTTTCTAAAAATAAATACATAAAAATCTTTAGAAAAAAAAATATGGCCTGATAAGGGGAGAGAGTGACATGGAAGTACTGTTTGAATAGGGTGATCTGAGAGAATTTTCATTTCATTTTTGCTGTTAGTGGCTGACCTCCAGTAGACTCTTCATGGGGGAGCAGGAAAAGAAAAGTAGCACCCAACTTATTTCAGGGAGGGAGATGAATTAAGCAGGGGACTTCAGAAACTCACACTTTTCCAGACCTCTACTCAGGGGATCCAAGTGCTTTTCTTTTCTCCCTAAGTGTATTCTTTAATGCTGATCAGTAAGAAATGGGAATGTTTATATCCTACTTGTGTTAAGATGTAGATCCTGTGTCAGAGGGGAAGGGACTTGTGTAAGGTCACCCAGTGGCAGGGGCAAAGCTGGAACTTACGTTCCTGCTTCTGTCTCCAAAATCCTATTTGAAGAATATAAAGAACAAAACAAAACAAACAAACAAAAAAACCCCACTCAAGTACTAGGGTTAAAAAGTCTATTTCCTACCTGAAAAGGATGTGAAGATATGAACCAAGGCCAGTTAGAATATGCCACCATGCATGAAACTGGGTGGTCACACCTACGATAGGTGGCACCTTCTTTCGAAAGTCCCTGTGAGGAGAGAGGGAGAAAATCACCATTTAACTTTTTAAAAATATTTAGTAACTAATGCTGACAGTCTTAGGGCATTCTGAAATACTGTTCTCAAATACAGCAATTATTTAATTCCCTCAAGTCTGCTATAGTCTGCTGTACTGTTTTCCAAAGTGTATTTTGAGGAATAGTATTCCTAAGCAAAAGTCCCATGAAGAAATGACTCTGTGGTCAAAATAAATGTGGGAAATAGTACAGAGTTTATTGTCCTCTTGGAGATCTGTGATGCATATTAACAGATTAAAATTTTTGAAACGTTCTACCAATAACTAAAAGAGTTTATCTTCATCCCCCCCTCTGCCCCAGGTAACCTACTTATCCACGGGACCCATCCTTCAGGTGTCATCTTATTCACGCCGTACGGAACAAACGTGCCCTGGAGCACACCTTGGGAACCTCTGGTCTACATAGCTATTCACGCAATTAAGGAACTAGATACACGCTTTTCCTATGCCCTGCATACAACCTTCACCTTAGAAGTGCACCACACAGACTATAAAGTCCTTGTATCTATTATTGTACTTCACTGTGGATTTCTAAGGTGGCTATTATTAGCTTTGTCTTACAGATTAAGTACGTAAAATTCAGAAAAATTAACTGAATTGTCCAAGTCACTCTGCTAGTGGCACAGCCAAGCCTAAAATTCTAGATCTTTTGATTAAGTGTATACTATGTTAATATTCTCATTTATTAGAAGGAAAAATCAACATGAAACACTAAGTTATTTCTCTAGATACCCCATGAATTTTTGAGACAATTACCATCTCTAAGAACCTACTTTGTTTCTCAGTGGCTCTCGCCCAGGGGATGATGACTGACTTACCTCTGCAGCGTCAAGGCTCTAGTGGGGCTCCTGGTGGGTGTTACCAGTTCAGAACCATTCAATTAGATTTCAGTTTCTAAGCAAGTTGTATTACTTGTTTGCTTACGTACAGTAAAGTTTACATTTACTTATCTAACTTTGTATTATGAAGAATTTCAAGTGTGCAAAAGTAGGCAAAATAATAATGTACCCATTATCCAGCTTCAACAATAACTTATGGCCAATATTGTATTAGCTAAATTCTTGGCCACTTCTCCCCATCACCCTATATTATTTTGAAGCAAATCCCAGATATTGTGTCATTTATCTCTAAATATTTAATATGTATCTCATAATGATTAAAACAGCTTTAAAATAATATCATTTTCATATCTAAAATATTAATAATATCTTAACATCACCACCATACTCAATTATCAAAGTCCCAATCATCTCAAACTTTTTAAAAATATCATTGCTAACTCATTTCAACTTTTTAAAAAAATGTCTTATTTATTTACTTTTAGAAAGAGGACAAGGGGGGGAAAGAGGGAGAGAAACATGGATCCACTGCCTCTCGCACACCCCCAACCAGGAGACCTGGTCCACAACCCAGGCGTGCGCGCGCCCTGCCTGGGAATCAAACTGGGGACCTTTCGTTTTACAGGCCAGGTGCTCAATCCACTGAGCCACAACAGCCAGGGCTCAATTTTTTTTTTACAGTTCATTTGTTTGAATCAAAATCCAAAACAGGTCTACACAGTACATTTGGCTAATTTATCTCTTAAGTGTCTTTAAATCTCTATGTTCCTTCTCCTTTTTCTCTCCTCTCTGCAATTTATTTGCTGAAGACACCAGGTCATTCACCCTGTAGATCTGCCACTGTCTGAATTTTGTTGATTGCCTCCCCATGGTGCTGTTCAATACATTCCTCTGTCCCCTGTGTTTATGCAAAACCATTAATTCACAGAATTTTGAGTTGGAGGGACCCACTATTTTAATTTATTTTACATGTTCATTATAATAGAAATTGAGGCCCAGAAAGATAATGTTTTAGTAACAGACCAGAGACTCAAGATGCAAACTCCAGTCAATACATAATTGCTGACAAGATGAAACAAAAGAAACATGTGCCTTTCTTAGAATATAACATCAAGCATATTAAAGTACAAAATTATATACATGTATTTCATATCCTTATTTCAGAGCATTCTAATTTCTTCAGTAAAGGAAACTGGGCAGATTTCAAAGACCCAGTCAACATTTAATTAAAAATCCCTGCAGATGTTACAAAATATTCTCACGTCTAAATTTTTAATTTAAACAAGTCTTCCCAGAATTTAACTTTATTGTATTATACATATCGTTTTAATTTCAACAATGGCAAAAATTCACATTGGGACACTAATAATTCTATATGCTTATGAAATTCTGCTTAATAGATTGCTCCCAAAATATTTCTCAAAGATTGAAAATATATCTTACCTCAGTGAATCACAAAAGATGTTATCTACGTTCCATAATAAAAATCCCAGTAAAAATATACCCAAGGATGTATAACCCAGTCCTCTAAGCCATGGGTAAACCCTATGAGAAAATAAAAAAGCACAATGAAATTTTGTCAGCTCATGTCATGACCAAAGCTTGAAGTCATCCCTTTCATGGGAAAGGAAAGGTTTTTGTTAGTATTAAATGCAAACCTATTTTTTAGTTTCTCTAATACACTTGGCTATTACATTTAGCCATTAAAAGGTGTGGAGAGAGAATATGCCTCTAAGACTTGGCCAGGTGCACCAAGGAGGAAATCTGAGAGCCCCCGGTAACTTCCAGTCCCACCGAAGTGCAAGGGGAGGGGTGAAACAGAATTAACACTGAGTCACTTGTTCTGTGTCAGGTACTGGTAAATTAGACACACACTACATGCTACACACACACACACACAAATAAGTAAAATCTTCAAATAAACCCTGTGAGGCAGGTGTTCTTTTCATTTCACTGAGAAAACTGAAGCTTGGTGAGTTAACTAAAATATTAACAGCAGCTTACACACACACACACACACGTTATAGTTGCAATGAGGTTTCATTGACTCACATTAAAATGCACACATTTAAAGTGCACGTTTGATGAGGTACAGCCATATGTACCCAGGAAACCAACATGAAGCTCAAGATGATAAATATATTCACCACTTTCAAAAGCCAAGTTTGCATTTCTTTTACAATGTGACATAAATTGAATAATACAGTATATCCACGTTATTGTGTGTTTTTTTCCGTTTGGTGCAATTATTTTGAAACCCATCCATGTAGTTACATGTATCAATACTTCAGTTCATTACTGAGCAGTACTCTACTGCATAGATACACCATAATTTGTCTGTCCAAATATTAGTGAACATTGTGTTTGTTCTTTTTTACTGTAACAAATAAAGCTGCTATGATCACTTATAAATAAGTCTTTTTATGGATATATGCTTTCTCTTTTTTCTCTTGGGTAAAAAGCTAGGAGAGGAATGGATGGCTTGTAAAGCAGGTGAATGTTAAACTTTCCAAGACGCCGCTAAACTGTTTTCCTAAGTGACTGTATCATTTTACACACCCACCAGCTGTGTACGAGTGTTTGCTGTTCTACATCCTCACTGACACTCGGTATGACATCAGTCTTCTTTGTTGTTCTAGCAGGTGGGTGGTGTTGTTTCACAGTGGTCCAAATTTGCATTTCCTTAATGACTAATGTAATTGAGCATCATTTCATGTGCTAATTTGATATCCATATATCTTCTTTGATACTTTGTTGAATCTCTGCTCATTTAAAAAATTGTTTGCCTCACTATTGCATTGTAAGAGTTCTTTATACAGTCTAAATATAAACCTCTTGTTGGATATATATTTTACAAATATTTTCTCCAACTCTATGACTTGCCTGCCATCTTCTTAAGTGTCATTTGAAGAACAAAAGTTTGCTATTTTAATGAAGTTCAGTTTATTAATATTTTCATTAGAGTTGGTCTTTTTGTGTCCTATTTAATAACTCTTTGCTTAACCAAGCCTACAAAGACTTCTATATTTTCTTCTAGAAGTTTTATAATTTTAGGTTTTACATTTAGGAATATGAATCACTTCTAGAATATTTTTTTTAACTTTTAGAGAAATGGGGAGGGAGGGAGAAAGACAGGCACGGAAACATCAATGTACGAGAGATACATCGATTGGTTGCCTCTTGCATGCTCCCAACTGGGAACCTGGCCCACAACCCAGGCATGGGCCCTGACTGAGAATTGAACTGGTGACCTTTTGGTTTGCAGGCCAGTGCTCAATCCAATGAGCCACACCAGCTGGGGCCATTTCTAGTAAATTTTTGTAATGATGTGAGTTTAAGTTTGTTTTAAAATAAGAATATCAAGTTATTCAGCACAATTTGAAAAGACTATCTTTTCCCCACAGAATTACCTTAGAATTCTTACTTAAAAACCAGTCAGTATGGATGCATGGGTATATTTCTGAATGGGTCTATTTTTGGATGTTCCATTGATCTATAATTTCATTCTTACCAGCAATACCACATTGTCTTAATGTAGCACTGAGTAAATAAAACAAGTAGTATAAATCCTCTAACTTTATTGTTCTTTTTTCAAAACTGTTTTGGCTATTCTAGATCCTTTGCCTTCCCATGTACATTTCAGAATCAGTTTCTCAGTTTTTTCCCAAAATCCTGCAGAGATTTTATGATTTGCATTGAACTTATACATTACTTTGGGAAGAATTCATATCTTAACAATATTGTTTTGTATCCATAAAATGACACATCTCTCCATTTATCTAGGTCTTATTTAATTTCTCAGCAAAAAAAACAACCCAAAAGCTATGTTCATAATTTCCAATGTACAGGTTTGCATACAGTTGCTAAATTTAACCCCCAAACATTTGACATTATTTGATGCTAGTATATAAAGATATGATTTGTGAATACTGACTTGAATCTTGTGACCCTGCTGAATCCCACTTATTGCTTCCAGTCTTTCGATACATGTCCTGGGATATTTTCCGTACATGATCATGTCATTTGCAAATATTACGTTGGATGGGATTCTCACCAGTATAATGTTGAACAGTAGTGGTGATAATATATATATCCTTGTTTTATTCATGACTTTATAAAGAGGCTTTTTTTTAAACATACAATGACTACAGAAGTTAGATGCTGTAGAGTTTACAGCTTAGAAAGTTCTCGTCTATCATGAAGTGTGTAAAGGGTTTTATTTTGTTTAGAGTATAAATAGCTGTTGAACTATAAAAATGTTTTTTCTAAATATATCATTATCATGTAGCTTTTCTTTTTTAATATGGTGAATGACAAGGTCAAATTTTCTCAAATATTTTCCTTTAACGATAAATATTCATATATAAATGAATGAAAAAGGTAATAAAAATCATCAGGAAAGCACAAGTCTGACTGATGAAGGTTCTCACAGAAGGTGAGGTTCAGAGAATCATACTCTGTTTTCAGCTTATTTCAGGGGTTTTATCACAGCCCCATTTGGGGACAGCAAGAATGAGTTCCAGGAAACAGAAGGCTTAAACTGTGAAGGCATCTGGTAGGGCTGCCGTGTGGACCAGTGCTGAGACATGACAGAGGTATGATCAGTAAGAGCTGGATGCTATTTCTGCTTCTAAGCTTACTTACCAGGGCCAATCTTCAGCTCTCAGGAGTTCAAAGCAAACTCTTCTGTGGGGTGAAATGCATGTCTGGTTATCTGGGCAGCAGGGTGTGCAGGAGAGAGCGAGAACTTGATCAGCACATGGCTCGTGCCAGCTAAGTACAGATATCATTCTGGGGACAGACTACCCATATACTACCAGGTATGAGTGTATAATAAAAAGGCCCTCAATGTATCTGTCAAGTTACATTGCTTCCTTCTTGACTGGCTGCCCCCTAATGAGTACCTAACCCCTGACAAATCTTTTCCCTTCACCTTCAAAATCGGCTTCACCTATCTCTGTGTTGAATTTTCTTATATACCATGTCTTCCTCTTTTCTGGTTTATTCTCTTATTTTTCTCAAAGTTCCTGAGCAACAGTTTACGGGATATACTTTTTTTGAAAACTTGAATGCAAAAAAATGTATTTTGTCCCCATATTTCATTGATATTTTGGCTGGCTACAGAATTCTAGGTTAGAATTCTATAATTCCAGCTTCCAGTTTTGCTTTGGGAAGTCCAAAGCTGTTCTGATTCCTGACCCTTTGTATGTGTATCTACCTTCTAACTGTACAAATTTATGAAACCTTCCTTGTCTAGAATTCTGAAACCTAAATAGGTATACTTTCACCATTATGCTGAAGAGCCAAAGGGTTCTTTCAGTGAGAGAATATTTTCTTGATTTATTTGGGTGACATTTTCTTCCCTTCTATACTCTCTGCAGCCACCCTTCCCCTTTTGTTGGCACTTCTACTCTGGCCCGGTAATATTTCTACAGAGTTTCCTCTACTCTTCACCTCTTTCTCATTACCCTGAAGGCCCCCAGGGAGTGTGTGTTTCTCTCTCGCTCTGCTTCTGTCCTTTCCACAGTGAAGCCCATGGACTTGAGGAAACACCCTGCTGTCTCCCCACAGCAGTGGCAGAGTGAATCCAAGCGTCCTGAGGTCTTGCTCCCTGTCCGGTACCATGGTTTTGATGCCCGTCCTGTGGGTGGGTGCTTGCTGGTAAATGGGGTGGTGGGAGTGATGGGGGCTGCTAAATGTGGGAGGGGGTGATGGACTATAATGCATTCACAATGTGTGTTCAGAAAAAGGGATTCTAGTGGCTTCTGTAGTTGTACCTTTCAAACCCTTCAGTACAATTTTTTGTTTTATATTTTTAATATTTTGGGAAAGGAATTATCTGAATGTTCCTTTTTTATAGCATCTTACTCTTGATACAGTATATTTCTAGAAATATTAAGCAGTTAACACTTATTCTTGTTTTATCATTTTTGAAGTCTTTTTCCTTCGTGCATAAATTGTCTTCTCTATGTTGATTTTTCCTCATTATGTGTTTTGGCCTCTATCTTTCATACTGGATGCATTCCTTATATGTCTGACACTGTTTCCTTGTTCCTAAGAGTCGGAAACTAAAATGGTGACAACAAGCTTTAAGCATATGGTCGAGGACTTGAGACTAATATCCTTCACTGCAGAGTTAAGTTGTTAGGCCCATGGTTAGTACCTTCAGGTCTTCCAGGATGCTCACATTCCCTAAAATAAGCAATCTTCCAATTTTCTGCCTACAGGTCTTGGCATTCAGCATTCAGAACGCGTAAGGTCACCCAGCTTCCCTTATTTCAGTATAGTATTCACAGGCTCAGTTGTGCCTGGTAAAGTCCAACCTGGAGACATTGTTCGCCCTTTCCAGAGAATAAACCTCCAGACTTCTGCAGTTGCTCAGTGATACTGAGTGGGTGCGGAGACCTAGTCATTTAACAATTTCTTAAAGCTTTTAACCAGTCCTCTTTATTTTAGGTCTCTGCTCCATCTCCTTTTCTGAACTGCTTGTTGCTGTTAATGCCTGATGCTTGAGAAAATCCTCTGATGAAATTGGGGGATCTTGG